GCGTGGCGGCCCACGCCGTGGAGACGCCAGGCTGGAAAGCCCCGGAGGCCGCGGGCCCCCAGGTAGGCACCTCCCGCGGCGCGGAGGGGCCGCCCTCGGACTGATCTGCAGGGAGGTCGGAGGGGCCCGTAGAGTTAGGTAAAAAGTACAGGGTTTAAAATGGCTCGAGGCCCTGCCCCCCGTCCCGCGCGAGAGGGTAAGTTCGTCATTTAGCCGTAGCCCCTGATGGGAGCCACACCTCGATTACCAGTCTTTACGGAAAAACGAACAAAGAAGGAATGGTCCCGCCGTGCGACCCTCCTGTTGAGGGGGTGTCATGGACGCTGGCCGTGGTGAATCCGCCGCCGTCCCTCATGCCGAGGAGGGAAACCTCGGGGAGAGGCCTCGCCCACCCCCAGGAGCCGGGCCTCGCAGACGGGCCCGTCCCAGGTAGACCTGAGATCCGGCGCCGGTGCTGTTGTATCTCACGTCTTGCCCTCTTAGAATTGTTTCTCACGTTTTCTCTGTTCCATTTTAGCCTGGAAGTTATGAGATCCGACACTATGGACCAGCCAAGTGGGTCAGCACTTCCGTTGAGTCTATGGACTGGGATTCAGCCGTCCAGACTGGCTTTACAAAACTGAACAGCTACCTTCAAGGCAAAAACGAGAAAGGTACAGGCATTGTTCCTTGTAATGATGTATGTTGAGATTGCGTCCCCGGACTTCTTATTGAGTTTTGGCTTATTAAAGTAATATCCTTTATTAAAAAATAACCAGATCATCAAACACTTAGTATTTCCAAACAAGGTCCTCAAGACCCCTTAGCGTCAGCTGGAGGTGGGTAGTACTGCGTAGTACTTTTCAGCCCCGGTTCTCTGTGTTTCGGCTAGATGAACGGAGGCTCTGTGTAACTAGTGATACATCTTTTTCCATGGCTAATTCTTCAAGATAATTTGGAGATTGGTAGGGAAAGAGATACATCAGGAGGCAGGAAGGTACGCAAGATTAGGAATCTCAAGTCTCAAGTCATAACTTTTGGTTCTGTCTCTGCTGCTATATATATTTTACCAGGTCTCTTAGCCTACGGGACCTCACTTTCTGAATTGTAAAAAAAGAATTTACTAAACCATGTAATATCTAATTTCCCCTTTTATCTCTAAAAATATTGAATTTATTAACCCACAATATCAATAGTACAGGAAGTGTTGAATAATTGAGTAATTTTTGCCTCATTTTTTAAGATGAAAATTATGTTAAAAGTAAATATTTATGTCAATAGTGTAAAGTCAGTCAAGCAACTCAGATTAAAAAAGAATAGGTTAAATTTTGAAAAGTAGTCATAAATACACCAAATCTGCTCTCATTTTTATGGCAGAGATGAAAATAAAGATGACAGCTCCAGTGACAAGCTATGTGGAGCCCGGTTCGAGTCCTTTTAGTGAATCTACCATTACCATTTCCCTGTATATCCCCTCTGAACAGCAATCTGATCCGCCCAGGCCTTCAGAGTCAGATGTCTTCATTGAAGATAGAGCCGAAATGACTGTGTTTGTACGGTAAGTGATAGATAATTTATAGCCCTGCTGACTGCTACGTCTGCTGACTGCTAGTTTTGTGTGCACTCACAGTTTAGCTCCTATGCAATTTCAATAGACTTTTCACCCTTCCAAGGAAACAGGTCTAACTCATCTTGTGGTGTTTTCCCACTGGCTTAGTTATATATGTTACTAATGTCTGTCACAAGATATAATCAGTTCATTTATGAAAAATCTATTGCATACCTTCCACACATAAGACACAGCACAGATTATATTTCCCCCAAAACATAAGCTTACGTACATTTATGTGAACAAAAATACCTTAAAACACAGTACCTGATATTTGTCTTAGTTTTTTCAGGCTGCTATAACAATACCATACACTAGGTAGCTGTTAAAAAACAAATTTATTTCTCACCACTCTGGAGGCTGGGAAGTTCATGTTCAAGGCACTGGCTGTTTCAGTGACTGGTAAGGTCCCATTTCCTGGTTCATAGATGGCACCTTCTCGTTGTGTCCTCACATGATGGTGGAAGAGGCAAGGTAGCTGTCTGGGTCATCTTTTATAAGGTCACTAATCCCACTCATGAGGGCTCTACCATCATGATCTAATCACTAACCAAAGACTCTACCTCCTGATACCATCACATTAGTGATTAGGTTTTCAACATATGAATTTGGGGGGGACACAAACATTCAGTTGACAGCATTCTGCCCCTGGCTCCACAAAATTCTTGCCCTTTCACATGCAAAATGCATTCATTCCATCCTAATGTCCCCAGAAGTTTTAACTCATTCCAACATCAACTCAAAAATCTAAAGTCCAAAGTCTCATCTAAATATCATCTAAATCAAATCTGGGTAAAACTTAAGGTATGATCCTGAGGCAAATTCCCTCCAGCTGTGAACCAATGAAATCAAACATGTTATATACCTCTAAAATATAATGATGTGACAGGAATAGGATAGACATTCCCATTCCAAAAGGGTTAAATAAATAGGAAAGAGGAAATGTGTAACAGGTCCCAAGTAAGTCCCAAACCTTAAGACCTGAGATTAATCTTTGACTCAAGACTCTGCCCTCCAAGCCCACTGGGGTGGAGGCTTAAAGGTTTGCTATACAGGGGTTGGACTTCCAAGGCTCCAAGTGGCCCTGCCACATGACTTTAGGTGGCTTGCTCCCCACTGCTGCGCTCATGAGTTGCCTACTTGTAGCTCTACCAGGCTGGAATTGTGTACTAGTGGCTCTACCAGTCAGGTGTGCCCTGTTCCCATGGCTCCAATGGACATTTCCCTAGTGGAGACTATCTGTGGTGGCCCTGTGCTCACTGTGGCCCTCTGCCTGAGTCACATACCCAAGGCTCTGGGCAGCTCTGACCTTCAAAATCTAGGTCAAGGTAGCCATACCCCTATGGCTCATGCACTCCATGAGCTGGCAGAAATTGCACCGCATGGATGCTGCCAAGGTTTACTGTCTGTATTAGTCTGTTTATGTTGCTTATAACAAAATACCTGAAACTGGGTGATTTATAAAGAAAACATTTATTGCTTATAGTTTCAGAGGCTGGGAAGTCCAAAGTCCATCTGGTGGTGGTGACAGTGACTCAGGGGTCTCACATTGCAAGATGAGGGAGAGAGCAGAAAGAGAAAGACAGACTCTCCTCTTCTTTTAAAGCCCCGAGAACCATGCCCCTGACCATTTTTAATCCATTCACTACTGCACAGTCCTACAATCCAGTCACCTCTTCAAGGCTCTACCTTTCCATTACCATAATAGGTACCCTCTTAACAGTCACCGTGGGGGCTAAGTTTCTAATATGTAAAACTTGGGGGCACAATTCAAGCTTCAGTGAGTTTTGGGGGACATAATTCAATCCACTACACCATGCCCTCCAGAGGGATGCATTGGGGCCCACACACCACATCTTGGCCCACTGGAGCTGAAACTGAGGCAGCCAAGAAGTGCTGCAGTGGAATATAGGGAGCAAAGCCTTGAGGTGGTACTAGGCAGTACCCGTGTGCTTTCCTTGGAATTGTTCTGCCCCCTAGGCACTGGCACTCGGTCTGCGATGGGAGGGGCAGCCAGATAATCTCTGAAATGTCTTCAGGATCATTCTTCCATTGTCTTGAAGAATAGTTCCTGGTTTCTCTTCAGATGGCAGTACCAAACTAATCTCCTTACTGAAAGGTTGCTTGGCCACAGCCTTATTCTCTTCAGAACAAGCCTTCTCATTTCTTTCAATATGGATAGGCTCAGAATTTTCCAAATTTTAAAATTCTGCTTCCCTTTCAATTAGAAATTCCATCTTTAAAGTGTCACTCTCTTCTCACATTTTACTATAAGCATTCAAGAAAAGCCAAGCCACACCTTCAACACTTTGCTTAGGAATTTCTTCAGCTAAATATCCTTTTTTATCACTCACAAGCTCTATATAACACAAGGTCACAAACACAAATCAGCCAACTTCTTTGCCTCATCATAACAAGGATCACCTTTCCTCCAGTTTCCAATAACGTGTTTCTCATTTCTAAGAGTTCATCAGAATGACCTTTACCTCAGACCACCACAGTCTCGTACATCTCCCACCATCTCCTTCGAACTGCTCTTGCCATCCTTAGTAGTGCCCTTGTACTTGTTACATGATTACAGTTCTCTCCAGTGTGCCCCCCCTGCATCATCCATATGTTGACCAATCTGTGCCCTTGACACGTGTTTATCCTTTAACTTTCAGAATGTCACTCTCTTGTCATTCCTCCTTCTGTTTCTTTATTGCCATTAGCTCCTGCTTGGCTTCTCACCCCAGGAATCACTGCTAATAACAATTGTTGATCCTCATTTCATAGCAAATGTGCTCTGGGTGATCCATTCACTTTACTTCAACTCCCTGTGTCTAATGACTCTCAAATCTAGTAAGTGTCCCAGATCTGACTTACTTACTTCTTGGACATCTCCATTTTGGGGTGTGGGTTGGGGAATCAAACTCAACTGCTCTAAAAATGATCCTTCCTCCAATTCCAAAACCTTGTCTGATCTTATAGTGCCTGTCTCAGTAAAGGGCCTCATCAGATAGCAAGGAACTTTATAGTCATCATCAGCACAGTCTTTCCAGCAACTGGTCCCCAGATCTGGCCCATTCACCTCCAAAATAATTTGTGATTCTGTTCTTTTCTCTCCATCCCCATTGTTACTTCATCAGGCCTCATCTTATAGGGACCACACCTAAGTCACCTATGAATATTCCTGCTCTCAGCACAATGCCTGACACTCCCAGTAGATACTGGGATGTTTATTGATCTCAATTGAATTCTTTCTTGACTGTTTCACTTCAGTAGCCTACTACCTGTTCTCACTGCCACAGTCTTTTCCTCTCCTCTTCCACACTGGAACTATGATCTTTCTTACAACAACAAAACCCCAACCTGTTACTTGATTTGAAAGTTTTTGTCAGTTTCCTCTTGCTTCCAGGGTGAAGCTCAGGTCATTCACACAGCACACAATGCCCTTTATAACATGACCCAGCCCTGTCTGAGCTGCCCTACCCACGCTTCATTCCATGCCATGCTCTTCCACATCTCTCTACCTTTGACCTCAGGCAAATTACTCAACTTTTCCTCGCTAAAGTCTTCTCTTCTGTAAGATGTGTATAATCATAGTACTTACCTATCTCATAGGGTTGCCATGAAGATCAAATGAGTTAGTTTATGTAAAACACTTAGAACATGCACATTTGTACACTACTAGCTCTAGAGCTGTCTTTTCTCTTTCCGGAGAGCCCACTTTCATCATACAGGACAAATGACACCTCCCCTCTAATGCCTTCCTCAGTCTTTCCAGTTAGCCAGCCACTTTATCCTCGGTGCCTTCCCTCTGTTATTATTATTCTAAGTTATAATGACTTATTTATAGACTGTAGCTTTCTCAAGAATATGACATCATATTACTATGTCCATGTCTGCCAGCTCCTAGCAAGGCAGGCATGTGGGTGGGGGTAGGGGACACGGTATATGTTTGTGTACTGGATGAAGCAGCGGATAGATCAGTGTAGAACAACATGTATTCACAGAACAAAAGATGATTTCTAATTAGGAGGTTCAAGATTGGATTTTAAGGAAAAAAAGGGATCTGAAAACAAATTCCCTTTGCACAGAACATCCTAAGCACTGGCTGTTCATTAAGGAAATAAATAATAAATTTAGGAGCCAAAATGTTTCTTTACACATGGTTCAGAATTATATTCAATTGACAAGATGAAAATGATAGAACAGAATTGTATCAACTCACCTGCAGTGCTTTATTTTATGTGCACATGCATACAGAGATCCTTCTTCCATACGGATTTAAAAGGAACTGCCTGCCAGGAATGCTGGGTTGACATTGTTGAATAAAACAGACATGGTTTGTACCTTGAGAATGTGCATCTTATCTGAAGCAGGATAGGACTGATCTTTTGCATTGGCACATTAAGAGTAAAACTTATACCAAAGAAGGCATATTAGGAATATTTTTCTTTCTCAGTGTATTCCGAACCTTCAAAATCAAATTCGTTGTGCTTGCGTATCAGTAACTCGGGTAGGTCAGTGTGCTGTCATGGTTTAATCTCTGGATATTTTTGTTTACAAGATTTAAAATCTATACTTAAACTTTTATTCTCTTTTCCCACTTTTTATTTAAATCTTTTCACCGTCTTTTCTTCGCCAGCCCCATAGCAGCCTCTTAACTGCCTTGGCCCCTTCCAATCTATTGTCCATCTATCTGCCTATATTCTTACCCAGATCTGACCAAGTTCTTTTTCTGCTCAACATCCTTCGGAAGAATCTCAAAAGGCCTTAGACTAATATACAAGATTCTTTTCTGGCTCCAAATCACCTTTCTAACCGAATTTATGGAATGGCCTCACTATGAAAATGCTTTGAAGTTTTAGACTTATACTCCTTTTCCTATCCCTCCTTTTTCTTTGTTCAGCAAAACTATCCTCCATTCCAGGCCCAACTTGGATGATCTCCTCTTACCCTAGATTTACTTATATCCTTGGTGCTCCCAGAGCACTTCGATCCTGTACCTGTTAAAACTCTTCTCAGGTTGTATAGAGAGAGAGCTGCCAAAATGTTGGTCTCTTCCATTAGACTATAGAGGTCGAAGTGATGTCATGTTCGTTTGTAACCCTGTGCCTACCATTTTCCCAAGGAGAGAAAGAAAAAAATGTTCAACAGAAAATTGAGAGTCTGGGAGTTGGGCTTCTAGGGAAGTTTCAGTGTGGGTCTATGACCAGCAGCAGCAGCATGTATCTGAGGGCTTGTTGGAAATGCAGACTCTCAGGCCCCACTCCAGACCTCCTAAATCTGCATTTTAACAATATCTGTAGTGACTTTTGTGCACATTAGTTTGAGAAGCACAGGGTTAGAGCACAAGAGATAGTATAAATTCTAAATCTGCCTGCCAACAGACAGGACTTTTGCATCCTCCTGAATCTCCTCAGTGTGTTTGAAGTCACATGGAGACTGGGAGCCAGAAGGGAACATGCAATTCAGCTGCTGAGAGGGGGTAGTTTTGAAGCTGCAGTTCATCCAGCATTCATGGTAACAGCTCCTGCTTTTCCTTTCAGACTGACATTTGCATCAGTATTAAAATCATTCACGGTTATATACTTTCTTCTTTGTAGGTCTTTCGATGGATTCTCTAGTGCCCAAAAGAATCAAGAACAACTTTTGACATTAGCAAGCATTTTGAGAGAAGAAGGAAAAGTTTTCGATGAAAAGGTTTTCTACACCGCAGGCTACAGCAGTCCTTTTAAATTGCTTGATAGAAATAATGAAGTGTGGTTGATTCAGAAAAATGAACCCTCCAAAGAAAATGAATGAGAAAATGAAAGAAGTTCCATTGCCAAGGGCAAAATTTCTGTTTAATATAGACATCAACACTACCTATAGGTAACATGTATGTCTAGTGCCTTCTAGAGAGCACTGCTGTGGGTTGAGCTTATTTCCAGTGTGCCTTTTTAATGCTTGAAGCTTTATCTGGATACACAGACAATAGGGGACAGCAGTCTATAAACATGTAAATTAGTCATAACCATGGTAGTCTTTATTTCTGTGAGGATCAAGGGAAGTCATGTGACTTCTGTCTTCTTCAGTGCATTGCAATCATGTTGCCTTATTCTGCCTGGATTTGTGTCAGTTGGATATTATCACCTCCAGATATTATCAATAAAAATATTAAAAGATTTATCCTGTGTGTAACAACTAGGCTGTCAGGCCTGGAAAGGTGAAATTCAAGTGAATGCAGAAACCAAGCAGTCTTTTGTAGCTGCTCCTGTTAGGTTCTCTGTGGAGCCTCTTCCCCATCTGCCCCCTGCCTCCAGTGCACAAAGAAAACTCTCACCCCAGTGTGTTGATAATTATTTTGTGACAGGATGTTTATGAAGTTAGGGACTTCCTATCCTATTGGACACTCAATAAAGGCATGTTTTTTGAAGAAATGTCCACAAACATGTAATTTTTTTTTTTCTCCTTTTTGTCTTTTTTACTGACCGGTAACGGGATCGCAACCCTTGGTGTCGCGCCCATACCGGGGACCGGCAACGGGATCGCAACCCTTGGTGTTGCGCCCGCACCACGCTCAGCCAGTGAGCAGGAACCGGTCTCCACATGGGATCCGAACCCTCAGCGGGAGTGCCGCCGCGCTCCCAAGCGGCGCACTCTCCAGTGCGCCACCGGGCCAGCCCCACAAACATGTAATTTTAAAATTCACTTGAATTTTTAAAGTGAGTATTTTTAGAAGTTACATAAAAATGGTTATTCAAAGAGTGGGTTGCTGCAAAATCAAGGAAGTTAGAAATCCTTGCCTAATTGTGTTAGAAAGTGCTTGTCCTGGAGGAGATAAGGTCCCATTCAGACACCTGGAAGTTTTTTTTTCCATTTTGTCTTTTTTACTGACCGGTAACAGGATTGCAACCCTCGGTGTTGCACCCGCACCACGCTCAGCCAGTGAGCAGGAACCGGTCTCCACATGGGATCCGAACCCTCAGCGGGAGTGCCGCCGCGCTCCCAAGCGGCGCACTCTCCAGTGCGCCACCGGGCCAGCCCCACAAACATGTAATTTTAAAATTCACTTGAATTTTTAAAGTGAGTATTTTTAGAAGTTACATAAAAATGGTTATTCAAAGAGTGGGTTGCTGCAAAATCAAGGAAGTTAGAAATCCTTGCCTAATTGTGTTAGAAAGTGCTTGTCCTGGAGGAGATAAGGTCCCATTCAGACACCTGGAAGCCTGTCGTGGGAAGAGCGGTAGCTGTGCTCTGGGCTCCTGGAGGATGGTAGTTTTAGGATGGGGGAGAAAAGCAGGGTGGAACTAAAGTCATTTCTCAACAAAGCTGCCCATGAATGTCACCACTCCCAGTTTTCATCATTGTGTGTTTAAACAGAGACCATACATTAACTCATCAAGAGACAGTCACTTTTATAGGAGATTCAAGTATTCAGTGGATGAGAGGGTGAGGCCAGATGATATTAAGGTCCCTTCAACCCTAACATTATATGATCTCTCTTAAAATTAATATCTCCCTAACCTGGTATAATAGGCCAACGGTTTCCACATGGATTGCCTTCTAGGTGCACTGGTCTAAGCGCTTCACCTGAATTATCACATTTAACTTCCAGAACAACCATGTGTGCCACATTTTATTGTCACCATTTTACAAAGAGAAAATGGAGGCACGGAGATGTTAGGCAGCTTGCCCCGAGCAAAACTGTAAGGGCAGAGGTTGTCTGCTCCAGGTCTGTGCTGTTGACTGCACTCTGCAGGTGGCCGGCTATTCTGGTGCAACTCTCTCAGGCAACTGACTGGTGGGCGAGGACTGTAGGGTAGTGGTATTCCTGCATAAAAATCATTCACGATTATGACCTCAGAGATACCTTTGAGACTATAATTTTTGATATAAAACAAGTTAGATTTCTGGTTATGAAATTATTATGGTTATACATTTTAAATTCCAGGCAATTATTTTCCAAAGGTATTTGCTTGAGTTACTTCATTGATTGTTTGCATTTTTATGTTTGAAAAAATAAAAATCACATTTCTTTTTTAACACATTTATTGTCATTAACTGGAGGATGCCTTCTCGCCCTTCTACTAATGAATGTCCACAGCACTAACCTCCGCTGTTAGGAGGTCAGTGTTTCTAATATTTACTCTATAGTCCTGTGTGAAACATGCATCTCTTCTGCAGTAAGTTCCATCTTAAATGAGAGAAACCTATTTCTGATGACCAAGATTCAGTTGTAATCTGAAACATGTTCAAGAAAAAAATCAATTTTGTACAGTTTAAGTTCAGAGTATCTCATTTTTCCCAACTCTTTCTTAAATCGTAAAATATTTTTCAAGCCTAAATTGATTAATCCAGGAGTATTTCTTGCAGCAGTGAATCAGTTACTTTAATTACGTGGCTGGCCATGATTATGAAATATCCTCCCTTATGCTAACATTTCTTTTTTTTTTTTTTTTTTTTTTTTTTTTTTTTTTTTTTTTTTT